TGCCAATTTGTGTGACGACTATATTTCAAATAATTGTATTCACCGGGCCCGGCTCTATTGCCTTATTTATATTTCAAATACGTCCATGTCTGAATACATTTTTATGTCGCAAGCGACTTTGCAAACTTCTATTAGATTTATGCAAATGCCATTCTGTAACAATAGAATTAAGGAAATTCGTTTTAACGTAAAGGCAATATTTCATATCTAAGAGGATTAAGGGAAATGCTTTCCAGAATACTTGTTAACAATGGGTGAACTTATAAAATAAGAAAAATCTATCACTATAAGAATCATTCATAGTAAGTCACTGATCACTCATTGATGAAACGAAAATATCCGTTGCTGAGAACCATATAGTTAAATGAGACTATTTTGTGTAAAAAGGGGTGGGAAGAACTTTTATGTACTATATCTGTGTAGCTGGGTTTGTAAAAATTTTGGAATGTGTGGTATCTATTCTTTTTTTGGATTGTTAGATCTTAAAATTTAATAGTTATTAATTTCTTCTTCCATTCTAAATTTAATGCTAGGGTGTATGTAATTTATAAATTATATAAAAATATTTAGTTGTCGTTTTGCACCTGTGAAACAAGTTAGGATATCGTCTACATATCGATACCAATATAGGACATGTTTAAAATATGAATGTTTATGTATTATTATCTCTAATTGGTTTCACAATAAAATTTGTACCTATTCTGAAGAAGCTACCGTGTAGCGAAACAATTGTTAATTATTTATAAAAAAACATAAATAAACGTCGCACGTTACTTTGGTGGTAAGATTTTTGTTTTTTTGTTAAGAGCAGGGCTGTGTTTAAATTACAATAAAAAATATTTCTAAAAAGTGTACATATCAGTGTGTGGTATAAATGTGTTCTTCATGGTTTAATCATTGTTACTTTATTGCGTTTTAATTTTAATTATGAACACAATCAGTAAAATGGCCAGTGTCCAATTACTGGTTGGTAAAAAATGTAAATTTCTATTATTGGACATATGTCCAATAGACTGGGCCAAAAAAATTGACTATTTTTTTTTTTTGAAAACTATATCGAGAATGTCATTCAGAATGACAAATAAAAAATTTCGTGAAAATTTGAGCCCTTAATATTAATTTTAAGAGGTCTATCATCGCTATTTTTGATTTTTAGTCATAATTTGATGTTTTACGTTAGAACTGTCAAAACATTAAAGTGAAAAAAATTCCTTTTCACTTATTTTTATATAAAATTAAATTCTCTACAAAAAAGGTCTGATTGAAAATTTTCGTCAGACGAGCCGTTTCCGAGTAATTGAGCGTAATAAATCGATGTGTTTTTTCGATTTGCCCTTTTTACTTTGAAATTTTGTAACTAATGAATCAATGAATATTTTAAAAAGCTCACGTCGGATTCTTAAAGGAAATTTAATGTTCTACAAAAAAGGTCTCTTAACATTTTTGCCTAAATTTAATTCTTCAAAGGTTATTCACGATTAAAATCGAAGAAAAACTTAAAATTTGAATTTTTTCTTCGTGAATAACTTTTGAAGAATTAAATTTAGGCAAAAATGTTAGGAGACCTTTTTTGTAGAACATTAAATTTCCTTTAAGAATCCGACGTGAGCTTTTTAAAATATTCATTGATTCATTAGTTACAAAATTTCAAAGTAAAAAGGGCAAATCGAAAAAACACATCGATTTATTAGGCTCAATTACTCGGAAACGGCTCGTCTGACGAAAATTTTCAATCAGACCTTTTTTGTAGAGAATTTAATTTTATATAAAAATAAGTGACAAGGAATTTTTTTCAGTTTAATGTTTTGACAGTTCTAACGTAAAACATCAAATTATGACTAAAAATCAAAAATAGCGATGATAGACCTCTTAAAATTAATATTAAGGGCTCAAATTTTCACGAAATATTTTTTTTGTCATTCTGAATGACATTCTCGATATATTTTTCAAAAAAAAAATTAGTCAATTTTTTTGGCCCAGTCTAATGTCCAATATCATACGTTATTTGTATCCCGGACATTTACCAGCCAATTCTTATGTAAAATTGTCCCCTAAATCCGAAAAAACCGTCAAAAGTTAAGCAGTTTTTGAGATATAGTCAATTCCATGTTATATGTAAAATTAATTATATTTCAAAAACTGTTCTACTTTTATAACTTTTGACGACATTTTCGGATTCATAATAATAATATTTCATAGGAATTGACTGCTAAATGTCCTGGATACAAATTGCTGTTGACGAGATATATTAGTGTCTGGTGACATTTTTGACTAATTCATTTTTAGAGAGTAAATAATATAGTGATTTCTTCGTCACAGGACATCTTGCAGAATAACAGTGATTTATACATAAAAAACTAATGGCAACAAAATTAATAAATTCGGATAATACTTTTAACATACCACCCGAAAAAATATTAGATATATATATAAATCATCCTGTTTCGGCCTTAATATTATAAATGCTTAGCAAACTAGAGATACCACACTTAATTATATTTGCAACAAACTATTTCAGAAGTCAGACTAATCCAGAAAAGGGATGAGGAATCCGAGAAAGAAATACCTAAAACTGCAATTTATCTTTAAAAATATTTAACAATTTATGTTATTTGATGTAAAGTTGTTATGTTTATTTAAAAATTGTATGCCCAATAACTATGGTCCATGTGTCCAATTACTATATAAAATATCCAATTACTATATAAAATATCCAATTACTATAATTTTTTGCATGTTTTTATAAAACTATTATTAAAAATTCAAATATTCTTATTTTTAAGTAAAAGTAAATAAAGTTTAAACAAACAAACTATCCTTTTTATATATTTATAAGAAAAAAACTAAAATCTTTAAAACAACGCCATATATAAATTTTAAATAATTAATATTCCTTAAGTGTTTAATAACTATGTGGTTTAATAATAAGGAGTTTCATCAAGTAAAGGTGGAAACAATCAACTATGTGGATATAAAAACAGCTTTGTTGTAAAGTTTCATGAAATTTATTAAATTTTAACAATTGTTTTGCTACACAGTAGCTTCTTCAGAATGTATTAAAACTAATACTAGTGCAAAATTTATATAACAAAAAAATTGGTATTTTAGGTAAGGATTTTATTCTACATCTACCTGTGTTACATAATATTGAAATAGGATAGCATTAAGAAATTTCTAATGTATTTATTGTTTTATTAGAAGGAGAATATTTGAAATATGTAATTTTTTATATAACGCTATTGCTGTATGTTAATAAAATTAAAATAGGTTTAACAGTGGTAAATTATTAGTTTCTATTTGTTCATTGAGAATATTATTAGTATTTTTAAATTTGTTAATTTCTAGAGACTCCAATAGATTTAATTTTGCGCCTTTATTTTCTAAATGTAATATTTTATAGTTGTTATTAAAAGTATGGTTTTCTGTAATAAGATGTGTCGCATAAGCTGAATCAAGCTTTTGGTTAATAAATGATCTCCGATGTTCTTTAATTCTAGTATTAAAACTATGTCTATTATACTTATCTTTGTTGTTTTTTATGAAAATACTGAAATTGTTGTTAGCTTTAAACGCGATATTGGTATTAATGTTTTTGAAAAATGTGGAAATCTGTCTCATATTGGAACCTAAATATGTATTAAAGGTATTAATTAGGTTTATAAGTGATGGGGAAGTTTGTTTAATAGCTATTTTATATTTTTTAGAATATCTGTAATTAATTGTACTTCATATCCATTGTTCACTGCAATTTGTTTTATTACACTTATTACAATCAACAATCTACAAAATGTTTGCATAATTATAAACTACTTATGAAATTAGCTAACAGATTAGAGTTAAACATTCAATTTTCTTAGTTTCTTTAAAAAACTTTCTTATTACTGGTAATGTTTATAAGAAAAAAGTTGAATTTACACCTCGCCAAAGTTTTTTTTTTGGCGAGGTGTAGGTTCAATTTTTTTCTTATAAACATTAATGTTTAGTCTGGTTGGGCAAATTCTAGATTCCTTTAGGCCATATTAGTATCTGTCATACTATTTGCCGTGCATTTTTGGTTGCATAGTATGTACCGATTGCGGCAAAGGCCACGTCGTTTGAAGGTGTGGATCACCTGATGCTCTTACATCTCGCCTCTGTTGGCTTACCAACCGAGCATATATGCTTAGGGAGTCCTTTGTTTTGAGTGTGTTCCACTACACCAAGTTGCCCGATACTGATGAGACCCAATATATGTCGAAACAGCTGTATGTCGGTATTTGAAGTTGGTGGAACGCACTCAAAACAAAAAACTTTGGCGAGGTGTAGGTTCAATTTTTTTGTTAGATTAGATTTAGTTGTAAACTTAAGTTAAGTGGACCTGATTTAACATAAAATCTGGTTTATATTTGATTAAAATTTACTGTGTACTCGAACGATCGATTTGTTTGTTGGAGATGAGTGTATTTCCGAAAGCGATGTTCTGCTTAGAGATGGGCAAAATAAACCGGTTACTATAATAACCGGTTATTTTGTTTAGGTTAACCGATTTTTAACCGGTTATTTTTTTGAGCCAGTTAAACCTAAACTTTAATAAAAAAACAGATAACCGGTTTTTTAATAACTTGTGTAGTTACTTTTGTTCGTGCGAGTTGGCTCTACTAACTTCACTTTGACAATTGACCGTTGTCTTAAATGAGCGCAAGGGCATCACTGCATAAATGTTTAAGACAATATCTGCAATGGAATGTTTTAATTCATTTTAAACGTCGCGCCTATTTTACAGTTGTCAACCCTGCCGATGACGTTTATTTTTTAAAACTTTTGACAGAACAGCCAAATTGACAATTTATACTGTAATTGGTTTCGTTTATAATACCTATTGGGTCCGTTTGTTCAAAATGTTTAATAAAAAAGTGCTGTTTGGGATTTCTTTACAAGAAACAATGCAACGAGTTCATGTGTATGGAATTTGTGCGGTAAAACAACAAAAAAAACCGTTTTTTTTGGAAAACCGGTTATTTTCACCAGGTTAACCGGAGCAAATTAAACCGGATTTTTTTTATACCGGTTAACCGAAAACCGGTTTTTTTTAGAACCGCCCATCTCTGCTTACCTTGCCAGGTTTCAATGTAGACCACCGAGACCCTGGTGTTCAACGTGCGAAAGTAGAGATCGGCGATGTTCGCCACCTGGATCGAGTCGTGCACGACGTCGATTCGCGTCGATCCGTTGCGCTTCTCGAACATCGCCTTGTCGATCACCATGGCCGTCTCGATGTACTTGGTGGCCTCGCGCACGTCGCGCTTGATCTTCGCGCCGCCCATCGGCAGGAAGCCGGAGTGCGGGTTCAGGCGCCACTCCATGTTGCCGCTGTTCGCGCAGCCCTTGTTCGCTTTCGTTCTCGCCTCGAATATCACGTGAGGGTGTTTCTGCTAAAAAAGAGGAAAGCTGTGCAGTCACATAGAGTCCATAGAGGGTCAGTGGGGGACTGATGGCAACACCGAAATGTTAATGAATGAAAAGTTTACTTTTGTTTTCTTACCTAAATAAATTGTAAAAATAAATCAAATAAACAAAGGGGCAGTTACATTTTTTCTGACCTATACTTTTTATGGTTTTATTCAAGGCGTTTTGTAATTTTAAACATTTCAATTGAGTTTACCGTTTTCGAGATATTTACAAAAAAAAAATCTCCTTATTACGTCACTAGGCTATTGACAACGTTGCCAGCTTTTTCTATGGTTGCCAGTGTGTTTAGTTTAAGATTCTTATGATAGATGTCGCCACGTTATAATATTTTAGTTTTAAAACCACTTGATATATAATTTTAGTTGAGAAGAAGAAGAAGAATTAATTTTTTGACGTTTCTTTTTTTCGGGTTATGTTTTTTTTTAAATTTAGATTATTGAAAATCAATGCTATTGTTATGTTATTTATAATTGACATTAGATAAGTGATTTATTAATAACGGACTCCAAAGCAGAGGAATCTTGTGGAATGGTTGGTTACATTGAACATTTCAGCTTTTAAACAAATAAAGTAAGTACCTATAATTATAATCATATTTTGTCGTAAATGCATTTCATTAGTATAATGCCTAGTTCTTTACTTACTCTAAAATATCAAACAGTAATATGATACCTCGTAATAAGGAAGATGAATTTGGTGACCATCTTTCACTCAACTGACAGTGACAGTATTTGTACATAACCTCTTCGGGTATTTTCTGACATAACCGAATGAAATCATTAACAAGACAACTTGACAACAGGGTAATTTTCAACCAATAGAAATCTTAGAATGTTGGTCACATGGCGAGGTTTGTGACGTCATAAAAATTTATATTTTTTGTAAATATCTCGAAAACGGTAAACTCAATTGAAATTCTGATTTCATAGAAATGTTTAATATTACAAAACGCCTTGAATAAAACCATAAAAAGTAAAGGTCAGAAAAAATTCAACTACCCCATTATGAGTAAGGTAGAGTAGCGAATATTCTACTGTTTTTATTATTTTATAATAATGCGGCTTATTTGTAATAACGCGGTGTAAAGCCGACAAAAGACAAAGGCGAGGCGCACTCAAAGCATGCCGCTCTTTAGGCGCGTACCGAAAGCAAATTCGCTTCTGTTTTTGCCAAGGATATAAATTTATTTTAGATAAAATTATTGAAAAAATATTTTTTACACAAATTTTATACTGTTAAGAAGTTTCACTTCTACCACTTGTACGATTCTGCACATGATTTTTTTGTAATATACAGTGACAGACAAAAGTATATAACAAATTTGTTCATTCAATTAATTTATTCAAAAATTTGGCTTTTTTTTAATTCTCCCATAAAAAAATAATGTTACTAGGCCAAAAAATAGTAGCATAAAATTGAAGTTTTTGATGTAAAAAAAAAGTGTATTCAGTGAATTTATTATAGATTTTTGTAGCAAATTAATACCACTTATAATAATGTCAGATTTATTTTTCAATCAACCCATCTAATTTATAGATACTCAAGATACTCAAGATAATTTTATAGTATTTAGTTGGTACATCCAGTCTGCGGCTAAAGGTTTTAAGTCCTTGATACCGCATCGTTTCGAATTAACGATCTAATTCGGATTTAATGGCTGCCATCCCAATAAAATAAATTCGAGTTTACCTTATTTTTATCTTATTCAATGATGTATTATAATAGATAAGTCTTTTTCTACGGCCACCTTTAAATCGACCAATACCGTTTATTTTTTCATGACACTAAGTATTTTTTTAAATACAAATTGACAAGCTATGGCGCTTTAGTAACGGGCTGAATTTAAAATAAAGTGCCCTTCTTGTAAAATAATACTAAATGTGAAAAATATTGTATTATCTTAATATACAAATAGAAAAGTATTGAATAGTTTCTCAACCCATTGTAATAACCTTTTAATTTCGCTGCCAGTAAACTAGATTTAACTTAATTTCTGGTGGAGACTCCAATAAAACGTTGTGTTGGTCTAGAATGGAGTTTTTGGAAAGCCACCAGGTCTAGTAATAACATAATATAAATGGTTCTGCACTAATGCAAGAATTTTAAGAATTTTGAATATTAGAACTTCACGGAAAGCTTCACGGAGGTTAGGATTTCGTATATATTTTTTTAAACATCCCTTTGTATATTTGAAATAAGTTTCTTTGTATATTTGAAATAAGTTTCTTTTGACACCTTAAAATTTTTAAAAAATACAATTGTACATACATAAAATATTTATAAAAAAAATCTTCTTACTAAGATATTACACTTCACGGTGGATAGGTTTTTAAATAGCAAATTAATGAACTTAACACTCTCATCTGCATATAAATTCTAACTGACTTTCAGGAATCACATGCATCTATAATGTCGTAAACAGAGGTTTTTGCTTATTTAAAATTATTGAAGCGCCATCCGTTGCATAAAATTTAAAGCAAAAACAGATTTACGGAGGATAGAATTAATTTTTTTAACACCTACATAAATGGTTATAAAAAATATTTCTTTTAATTTTTAATAAAATTTTATATTTTATTCAATTGCTTTGGATGTGTTTAATTTACTTAGTGAACTAATATTTTTAGTATGCTTCTACTACCTCAGATATTTGAAAACATATAGGTTAACCTAGAAAGAATAACAGTCACGGAGGATAGGTTTTAAACTTTTAAAAAATTGTAAAAAATAATTAATTACGCGGAATCTGGAACCTGAGCTGTAATATCTACTTAATTATGAAAGATCAAAACACAATAAAAGTGTAGGTCAAACTCATTTGGTTTTTATTAAATATCACGGGGTAACACCATCGGGGGACATTTCGTGAGATTCACCCATAGATGTCGCTCTGTACAAATATTAAATTAAAGTTATTTTTAGATAATAATAAGTATTTGTCAACTTTTCTAGACACTCATTTAATTAAACACTCACTAGTAAGCTCGCTCTAATTTAAATTCTTGACTAAAATGGTGTTCATTAAACTTAATATATAATATACAATAGTATATAGATTTTTTAAATAATTTTTAACCTGAGCCTCGACCACTTAAAAAAAATTAGAACAAATCATAAAAAGTGGTAAAAAGTGATATTTTTATAATTTTTTTAAACAAGGTTTTTCCTAATTTTTGACTCTTTTTAAGGTATTCCAAAAGTTTCAGATTTTTAAAATATTTTTTTACCTGAAAAAATTAGAACAAAATTAGCATTTAATGCTAAAAAAGTGGAGAAAGTTTACTGTCGAGGTTTCATCTGCATACATAAATACGCGCCCAAGAGATAACTTATATTCGGGTAGGTCATTAACAAAAAGTAAGAAATAAAGAAGCCCCAAAACACTACCTTGGGGAGTACCAATACTTATGTCTTTAAACTAAGATAATGTTCCATTTACTTTAGTGTATATTTTATGATTAGACAAAAAAATATCAGCCATTGATTCAAAACTTGCAGCTTCCAGAAAACTGTCAACTTTTAGGGCTGAAATTAATGTTCACTTATTTAGCGATTTACCAGATATCAGATTTTATTTATTTATTTTTAAAAATTATTTAATTATCTACCTATTGAAGTAGATAATATATATTATTACACTCGAGATTATGCGGATTATTTATTAGGAATAATTTAACAAAAAACAGACCAATTTTATCCTATTGCATAGTTTTCCCAAGAGCGTTCGATGCTTAGCTGATTGTCAATTTTGTTGTTTAACTCTGTCATTAAGTAAAAACCCGCAATAGTTCTTAAGAAAATCTCCAGAGAATGTCTTAGTCGAGATCGAGGTTAATTAGAAATTCTTAATGCAAAGAAATAAAAAAACCTATAGCCAAACACTTGTTGTGGTTTTTTGGTGGTTGATGTTAAAAATAAAACTCACCCTAACTGCTTATATACCAGTTTGTTTTTACTTTTGGCCGTAAAATGATTTATAAGAGCCATTAAGTTAATTAGGAGGACGCGTAGCGTCAGGGAGCGTACAGACACACAGAACACCAGTGCGATTAGTTAAGGATTTTCCATGCATAATATTATTAAAAACGTAAACCTATTCGAGTTTCCCGTGCAAATTCTAAAATGATTACACATTCAGTTTGCATGTGTTCCAAAAATTAAATTAGGCGAATTTTAATTTGAAAGCTGTGCACGATAAGTCCTCGTGTACATAAGAAGATTTGTGTTATAAAAATAAATGATTTTTTAGAAAAATATTTAGTACTTAGTTCTATCATTTTGAAATCCAATTGTCCTTAAAGTTTGCTAAGGTATGTTGACAAGTAAGTTTAAATCTTGTGACAATCCACTTTCGAAATATTGCCTAGTAAAGAAATCGTCAACGCGTTAGTCAAATTATTTTATCTTAGTAAATAACTTTTTTCTACTCCCACCTTTAAAACGCCCTTTATCGTACATGTTTCCATGACACTAAGTAACCTTTTAAATAAACATTGACAAGTTGTGGCTTTATGGCGCTTTAGTCACGGGCTGAAGTTAGCAACAGGTTTTGTATGAAAACTATTTTATTATCTTAATACAAAAATACAAAAGTTTTAAATAGTTTCTCAACGCCAATATTTAAAAAGTTTATATGAACATTGTACTGACCTTTTAATTTCGCCGGCAGTAAACTATAACTTAAATTCGGGAACGCACTCCACTGTAAAGTCCTCATAAAACATTTTCTTTACTTTCACTGTAAAAAACTGTCAATTTTCAAGAAACACATTTCGATTTATAACCTTTATAATCTGTGTTTATAAAATATAAAAATGTGACATTTGACGGTTACATACAGATTCCCCTATTGTTTCATAGATGGGGCTCTATACAAATTTTTAATTTAAATCATTTTAACATAATAATAAGTATTTGTCGTAGAAAAAGTATAATATGCACCTCGTTTATAAACTTTTCTATA